AAGGAGCTCCTCTCTCTTCTTGTCGACTAAGAGGCAGCCGCAGTTCTTTTTGAAACTGGAGATGCGTTGAGCCTTGTCTTCTTCGACTAGAAGCGAGCTCCCTTCAATTCTCTTCAGAGGAGATGGAGACCTACCAAGAGGTAGAGGAGCTCGCTGCTAGAAATCAGTTGAATGACTTGGAGGGACTCTCTCCGTGTTTTCGATGAGGGTTGGGGGGAATCCCTACCGTTTCTTCTTGAGCGTAAAGAAAATAATCAGGATCTCTTTCCACTGCCAAGAGAGAAAGGAGGTTTCTTCTTCTTGTGCGTATGCTGCTGAAAGATAAAGGAAATGCTCAAGATCCAATCCCCTTATGAAGAGAGAAAGGAGTTATCTTCTTTCCGACCGATGGGTAAACGGAGACCTTTGAATTCTCGTGAAGTTGGAAGGGCCTGTCTGCTGGGCTGAGATGGAGCTCTCTTGCGTCTCATTACATGGGAGGAAGCTCTCAGTGATTTCCTGTGGACGATGAAGTAGAAAATCTTTCTTTTTGGAAGCTAGGGGAGCTCTGTCCTTTCTTGCTAGGAGCGAGGTCTCTTCAATCTTCTTAAGACGAAAAGGCGACATACCAAGAGGTAAACAGGCTCTCTGCTAGAAGGATGCTCTCTTCTGTTGCCACGAATATCCTGGGGACTCTTTTCTTGTTTTGGAGCATGAGGTCATTTCCTTTTGAAGGCTGAGGGACGACCAGATGTCTCTGTTTGAAAATTGGGGGGAGCTCCACCCTTTCTTCTTGAGTGTATGCTCTCTTCCATTTTTAAAACGGCAACGGAAATCATCAGGATCCCCTCCCCTTATCAGGAAAGAAAGGAGGTCTCTTCTTGCCGAGGGCTAAACGGAGCCCTCTTCTTTCTCATGAAGTTGGAGCGGCCTGTTTGCTTTGTTGAAATGGCGCTTTCTTCTGTCCCATTAGATTGGAGGAAGCTCTCAGTCTCCTCTTGTCAAGGATGAGGCAGAGGATTTGTCTTTTTGGAAGCTAATTCAGAGCATGGGGTAGAGGGTTGCTCATGTCTCACTTCTTGAAAGCTATCCCTCTTCTATCCAACAAGGAGCTCCTCTCTCTTCTTGTCGACTAAGAGGCAGCCGCAGTTCTTTTTGAAACTGGAGATGCGTTGAGCCTTGTCTTCTTCGACTAGAAGCGAGCTCCCTTCAATTCTCTTCAGAGGAGATGGAGACCTACCAAGAGGTAGAGGAGCTCGCTGCTAGAAATCAGTTGAATGACTTGGAGGGACTCTCTCCGTGTTTTCGTTGAGGGGTGGGGGAATCTCCGCCCTTTCTTCTTGAGCATATGCCCTTTTCCATCTTTTGAAAAGGTAAGGGAAATAATCAGGATCTCTTTCCACTGCCAAGAGAGAAAGGAGGTTTCTTCTTCTTGTGCGTATGCTGTTTTCCATCTTTTGAAGAGGTAAAGGAAATGCTCAAGATCCAATCCCCTTATGAAGAGAGAAAGGAGTTATCTTCTTTCCGACCGATGGGTAAACGGAGACCTTTGAATTCTCGTGAAGCTGGAGGGGCCTGTCTGCTGGGCTGAGATGGAGCTCCCTTACGTCTCATTGCATAGGAGGAAGCTCTCAGTGATTTCTTGTGGAGGATGAGGTAGAAAACTTTTCTTTTTGGAAGCTAGGGGAGCTCTGTCCTTTCTTGCTAGGAGCGAGGTCTCTTCAATCTTCTTAAGACGAAAAGGCGACATACCAAGAGGTAAAAAGGGATGCTCTCTTCTGTTGCCACAAATCACCTGGGGACTCTCTTGTTTTGGAGCATGAGGTCTTTTCCTTTTGAATGCTGAGGGATGACCAGATGTCTCTACTTGAAAATTGGGGGAGCTCCACCCTTTCTTCTTGAGCGTCCCCCCCTTATCAAGAAAGAAAGGAGGTCTCTTCTTGCCGAGGGGTAAACGGAGCTCTCTTCTTTCTCGTCAAGTTGGAGCGGCCTGTTTGCTTTGTTGAGATGGCGCTTTCTTCTGCCCCCTTAGATTGCTCTCAGTCTCCTCTTGTCAAGGATGAGGCAGAGGATTTGTCTTTTTGGAAGCTAATTCAGAGGACGGGGTAGAGGGCTGCTCATGTCTTGTTGAAGGCTAAGGGGAGGATCAGACTCTTCTTTTGACAATTGAGACAGCTCAGTCCTCACTTCTTGAAAGCTATCTCTCTTCTATCTCTTGAGGAGGAAGAGGGGACGACAAGGAGCTCCTCTCTCTTCCTAAGAGGCAGCCGGAGTTCCGAAGGGTTCTCTGCTCCTTGGAGATGCTATACGGTAGAGGATGTTCCAAGGGATCTCTTCCTTACCCTTTTGGGGAAAAGAAGCTCATTTCTTGCGGATGACGAAGCAGCGAGCTCCCTTCATTTATCGTCAGAGGAGATGGAGAGTTACCAAGAGGTAGAGGAGCTCGCTGCTAGAAATCAGCTGAATGACTTGGGGGGACTTTCTGCGTGTTTTCGTTAAGGGGTGGGGGAATCTCCGCCCTTTCTTCTTGAGCATATGCCCTTTTCCATCTTTTGAAAAGGTAAGGGAAATAATCAGGATCTCTTTCCACTGCCAAGAGAGAAAGGAGGTTTCTTCTTCTTGTGCGTATGCTGTTTTCCATCTTTTGAAGAGGTAAAGGAAATGCTCAAGATCCAATCCCCCTATGAAGAGAGAAAGGAGTTCTTTTCTTTCCGACCGATGGGTAAACGCAGACTTTTGAATTCTCGTGAAGTTGGAGGGGCCTGTTTGGTTGCTTGCCGCTTTCTTTGTCCCCTGTGGTGTGGTGTGGTTGTGGGTTGCTTTCCCCTCACTGTGGTGTGGTGTGGTGTGGTTCGGGAGTGGGTCTGCTTAGGCTGGTTACCCCACCCCGCCCTGTGGTGTGGTGTGGTTTGGGTTTCCTGCGTGGGTCTGCTTGGCGTGTGAGGCCTCGTGTGGAAAAAGCTTGCACAGTCACACACAGATTCGGCTTGGGGAGCGTGGGGGGGCGGGGGGATACCATTGGGGGGGAGGGGGTCGGTGAACCGAGAACCGGGATCATATATGCAAGGAGTTTGTGTGTATTTGCAGGGAGTTTGTGTGTATTTGAAAAGTTTTTGTGCGTATTTGCGAGGATTTTGTGCGTATCTGCAAGGATTTGTAGGTATTTCCAAAGATGTGTTTCGTATTTCCTTGGTTTTCATGTGTATTTGCAAGGTTTTTGTGTGGATTCTGTGTGCATGTTCATGGATTTTGTGTGGTTTTGAAAAGAATTCGTGTGCGATGTCCACAGCATCAGACGTGGATCAAGCCCTTCAACATCACATAAAACCCGCCAATCTCCCCTCAAATCCTTTTTGAATTGTTCGAACCCTGCAAAATTCCAGACAAGCCCTCTCAAAAACCCCTGAGAACCGCTTCTGGATTTCGCAGATTCCCCTAACTGTGGTGGAATTTGCTGTAATGTGGGCGATTGTTGTAAATGGGGGGCGGTCAAAACAATAGACGGGGCTCCAGTTTTTGTGTCTACCACAGGGTAGACGCAAAGGCCCATTGAAATCAGGACTTTGGCTCTACCCTGCGGCAGATACAAAAACTGGAACCCCGTCTGTTGTTTTGACCGCGTCTGTATCATTGGGCAGTTGCTGTAAACCATGGCTTGCACTCCCCAAAACTCTACAGGCACCGTCTGCGGTCGCCGCAAGCATTCCCAATTGTTTCTTATTAGCAACAATTCCGGGCTGCTGTTTTTGTCTGCACCAACAACACCCACAACAACACCAACAACCACAACAACAGCAACAGCAGCACCGTCAGCGACAGCAACAACAGCAGCAGCAGCAGGAGCAGCACAAGAAGCACAAGCAGCAGCAGCAGCAGCAGCAGCAGGAGCAGCAGGAGCAGCACAAGCAACAGCACCAGCAGCAGCAAGAACAACAGCACCAGCCATAACAACAGCACAACCAACAACAACACCAACAATAACAAAACCAGCACCGCCAAGACACCACCACCACCACCACCACCACCACCACCGCCACCACCACGACCACCACCACCACCGCCACCACCACCACCACCACCACCACGACTACTACTACTACTACTGCTACTACTACTACTACTACTAGTACTAGTACTAGTACTAGTACTAGTACTAGTACTAGTACTAGTACTAGTACTAGTACTAGTACTAGTACTAGTACTACTACTACTACTACTACTACTAGTACTACTAGTACTACTAGTACTACTAGTACTGCTATTACTATGGCTACCACTGCTACTGCTACACCCCTACTATAACTACCACTACTACTACTACTACTACTACTACTACTACTACTACTACTACTACTACTGCTACTGCTACTGCTACTGCTACTACTACTACTACTACCAGCCACCACTCATGCGACGACTACTTGCATGGCTACAACAGCAGCAACAACAACACCAGCGGCAAGAGCGAGACGTGACCGAGAGCAAGAACAACCACAACTGATACTGCCACTACCACCGGTACCACCACTGCCACCTTCACTACTGACTACCGCAGCTGCCGCTACTACTACTTCGAAGACGACTACTACCACAACTTCGAGGGCAGCAGTATAAATACAGCGACAAGTAGTTGTTCTGGTGGTGGTTAGGAGGACGAGGAGGAGGAGCAGTAGTACTAGCAGTCGTCGTGGTCGTAGTCGTGGTCGTAGTCGTGGTCGTAGTCGTGGTCGCAGTAGTGGCAGTGGCAGAGGCAGTAGTGGTGGTAGTACCACTAACGACGACGACAACAACTACTACTGCTGCTACGCTGCTACTACTGCTACTACTGCTACTACTGCTACTACTGCTACTACTGCTACTACTGCTACTGCTACTGCTACTGCTACTACTACTACTACTACTACTACTACTACTACTACTACTACTACTACTACTACTACTACTACTACTACTACTACTACTACTACGACTACGACGACCACTACTACTGTTGCTGGCGTGATCTTTTCGAGTCGGTGCACCTGCGTATCGCGAGTGACATCGCTGCCGCTTGCCTCGCCGACGAAGAACAGAGATCAGCTTCATCTTTGAAGGTTTGCAATTCGAACTTGGAATCAACTCGGGACACCATTTCACGTGCACCTGGGTGGCGCGAAGTGAGTTCGGCCGGGTCACCTCATGCACATTACTGCTGGGGAAATGCGCGGCAACATCAGCCATGTGGTTATGCATTGATAGCCTGCATGTGGAATGTGCCTTATAAAATGGCCTAACCATGCTGGCGGCGAGTCGTCGACGAAAAAGCTGATGATCATGCTCCATGCACGACCGGAGCACAAGCGAACTGTCACAAACTCAAGCTGAGCCAGGCGCCTGACCGTTGCGGGCAGACACAAGCCGAAAGCTACCGATGCTTGTCCATGCACAAACGAACTGTCGCCATAAAACGAAGAAGCCGATGCTTATGTCGGTCGGCAGGGCAAACGCAGAACGTTCACCGAATCAGCTGCAGGCGAACCGTTGCAAGAACGCCACATGTAACAACTTCTGCGCAATCCGGTGGGCATTCGGGGTGTAGCATTGCCCGTTCAACTGCCCTCCACCATCACTGGACTCATCAATGCTACCCCCACTCCGGCACTTGTGGGTACCGTGCTTGGACCCGAGGCTGTGAGGAAGTGCTGGCCCACCGGTCACCGGGCCATATCTCACGTCACCATGCGAGCACCGGCTCCGCCTCTGAGCCCCTCTCGGCAATACCCGCCAGCGTTCGGAGCAGTGCCGGACCTTGTCCCGGCTGGACTGGCCCCTTCGGGCATGAACCTTGTCCCGGTAAGCAGAACTGATGAACAGGCGACGAGGCGAGCCCTTGCACAAGCGCAAACACGCTGATGGTCATGATGCTCGCCGGGAGGGAACCAGAGAACCGTTGCCAAATCAAGTCGAACACGGATGATGTTTCTGACTTCATGCACAGGCCAACGCTTGTAGAAAGCCAAACGGCCGATGCCGTATTTTTCAAATCGAGGGCAAGAGCTGCTGGCGATGCTCCGACCGTGGCGACAAGCTGCAAAGCTGATGCGTCGCTGGGTGGGCAACGACACGGACACTAATGACGGAAAAACTCCAGAACTCGAACTGCCCTGCCCCGGCAACTGCTCATCTTGAGCGCCACAAGCGACTCAGCACTTGGAAAGTGTCGGACCGGGGCAATGGTCGTGCACAGCATATAAGCTTCGCACAGCAGCACGTCCGGAGGTTGCAGTGGGTGTCGACACCTTCGGAGCGTATGCAGTGGGTGTCACCAAAGTTGTGTCTGCTACTTCATACCGCAGCAGCCGAGGAATCTGCAAGGACACCAAAAAAATGTCTGCCTGGGAGTCGCGAGCAATGTCTTGTGGGCTCGCCCCAGTGCGGGCAGAGCCAGGCCGGGTCACCTCACAGTTGCACTGTAACTGCCGACATGGGATGCCATGGGCCAGTGAGGGTCTGACGCCAGTTCGCGTGGAGGAGGGTGGGGACACCTAAGCTTTGCTGCAAGTCACAGCTCTTGCCTCACGTGAGGACTGCAGAACTTCGACATGCACAGGGCTCCCACAGCCGTATTGTGCTCTGGACGTGGCTCAGGTGTGGCCTAAACCGCATCAACCAGCTCGCAGGATACTTGAGAGAGATGCGACCATGCCAACACACGAACTGTTGAACTTGGTGGCCGACTTCGCGCAAGATTGCTGCAGCCTGCACAGGAGCGGGCAGAGAGCAAGCAAAGAGCAAGACAAGAAGCCTTCAAACTTCTGTCTTCTCCATGCTTTTGGCACAAAATTGAAATCGATGCTGATGTCTCAAGGCCCACACCAGGCTCAACCCCACCATCCCTCCTACCTTGCCTCAGCACGGGCGTCGGCCTCACAGTCACCAAGCTAGTCGGCTGACGCTTTTGGACGGTCAGATGCCAACAAGCGGTCGCAGCATGAAGGGCACCTTCTCGTTGTCTTTGTGGGTTGTTCCGCTGCCCGAACCCAAGACATGGACCTTTGCGTCCGCACCTGCGCTGGTGCACGTCCCCGCCTCTGAAGGGCTGGAGGAAAATATCGGGCCTGTGCTGTTTTCTCGAAGGGGCTCTGCCGCAGGCCTGTGGTGCATATGGTGCTCACTTTGCATGCAGGCGCGCAATCGACTCATCTGCCCACCTGTCATCCATCGCCGATGCCTTTATGCACGAACTGGGACTTCGATTTTGGGCGTATGCCATGCTGCGCGGATGTATCACAGATGCCAGCATGCTAGGCGTATATCATGGTATATGATATCTATTTGGCTCAATTGAGCTAGACTCGCTGCAGTAGGCTATCTAACAGCAAACCAAGGACACACACACACACACACACACAACTTGGCTTACTTTTGCTGCTCGAACGGCGCCTAACTTTGCAAAACTGCAAAAGACATGACTAAGAGCAACACGAACGAAGGGACGTACATAATGTGTATGTTCACAGTTCATAGCCGCCATAGCCATAGCCTATACAAGCGAACACACAGTACAAGCTGCATCAAGTGTACCCAGAAGTGGGCCTGTATGATTTTGCGTGTATTTGAATAGGCACACATACTGACATGCACGCATACCCACACGCACGCGCACATACGGATCCATGCCGTCCGGCATTGGTGGAGTATACAGGGTTTGTGTGTTCCGCGTCTCGACACAGTTCCCACCATATGCTTCTGCACGCTAGGAAACGACTCCCCCTGAGAGCAACGCTCCGGGCGAAGGGACCGGCGACCTGGCCTCAAAGCAATGCGGCTGTACTTCCAAATGTTGACATCAGGTAGCTTAGCGCGTGTATCATACTAGTACTGTAGTACTGTGACACAAGACAATGTACAACAAGATGTAAACAAACGTAATAAAATCGGATACAACAATACACTGTGAGCCGAGAACTGTGATGCGTACGTACGTACGTGACTACTATTGCTGCTGCTACTACCACTACCACTACACCACTACACCACTACACCACTACACCACTACACCACTACACCACTACAACACTACACCACTACACCACTATACCACTATACCACTATACCACTATACCACTATACCACTATACCACTATACCACTATACCACTATACCACTATACCACTATACCACTATACCACTACGACTACTACTACTACTACTACTCCTGCTGCTGCTGCTACTACTACTACTACTACTCCTGCTGCTGCTGCTACTACTACTACTACTGCTACTACTACTGCTACTACTACTACTACTGCTGCTGCTGCCGCTACTACTACTACTACTACTACTACTACCCCTACTCCTACTCCTACTCCTACTCCTACTCCTACTCCTACTCTTACTCCTACTCCTACTCCTACTCACTCCTACTCCTACTCCTACTCCTACTCCTACTCCTACTCCTACTCCTACTCCTGCTCCTGCTCCTGCTCCTGCTCCTGCTCCTGCTGCTGCTGCTGCCACTGCCACTGCCACTGCCACTGCCACTGCCACTGCCACTGCTACTGCTGCGACATCTCCAGCTGCCGCTGCGAGTACTACTCTCAATATTAATACTGAAGGTTTATATTACTGTCAGCCATATCTTTGCAAATGAACACTGTGCTGAGTTTGCTCAGAAACGCATACATAAACAACAACAAACAAGTGGCAAATGATTTGATTTGTCTGCGAGATTAGATTTTGCCAAGCATGAGCTTTTGATGTGCTGGAATTGGTACACAGCATCGACAAACATGTCTGATTGAAATGCTGTTGCCGCATGGTAATTCAAGTTTTGGTCTATGATGAAACAGTAGAAGTCTAATAATCGATTTGAAAACAAAAGTTTCAAGGAGGTCAAAGTTCCATGTCGTGACTGTGTATCAAACAAGTGCCGAATTGTTACACGTGCTGTTTTGTGCCTCATGATAATTCAAGTAATTCAAGTACTGATTAAACACACAATACAAAACAAATGTCGCTCCGGATCTGTCTACCACACTACAAGCATGGACTGGGACTCGCCTTCTCTCTATCGCTCTCTCTCTCTCTCTCTCTTTGGTTCTCGCTCTCTTTCTGCTTTTCTGTTTTTGCTCCCGGGGCGTCGAGCCGAAGGGCCAATTCAGCAGCAATTTTGTTTTGGTGTGATCCGGTCTCCGGCATCAGCGGAAGCAGATGACTCATTCCCTCATTCCCTACTGACGACCAGCAAGTTTAGCTCTTTCATAGTCGCACCGCAGCGCCAGCGTTTGCTAGAGACTTCTGAGTGCCCATCGCGATCCTCGCGGACACCTCAAGAGAACGGGGAGGTCAATACTGAAGACGACCCTTTGGAACTTTAGACTTCTGAACTGTTTAGTGTGAGGCCCATGCGCTCAGACTCCCTCAGCTGCAAATGCTCTGCCATCCTGCCAACGGAATGAGGACTCGGTCCCAAGCTCCAAGCAAAGCTTCACAGCAAGGACGGCGACTCATGATCTTGAGGCACCAACGTCGCAGCCACACTCATGGAGTCTCATGCGTAAGCATGTGTTCGCGACCGACTACTGCCATCAGGACCGTGGCGACACAATTCGGTACAGCTACGCGCTCCGCAAAGCCAGCTGTTTCGCATGGTGGGGACAACGAAGGAAAACACCTTTCATTCATGAAGTCTGCGAAAGCAACCATAGGATTGTATCATAATCGCATGCCCCTTAGAGTTTCGATAAACCCTAGCCCTAAAGCCCTACGAATACAACAGATTATTGCCGCTGGCCCCTGGGCTTACAGCTACCCCTGCATAGAGACATGTAGTTTTAGGTTTAGGATGTCGGGCTTCAGGCGGAATTAGGGTTGCGCGCACTACTGGTACATTACCGTACAATGCATTCCATTGCAAATTTCACTGTAGGCTAATGCGGTACATCACACAACCCGATAATTCATACGGTAGTGTAACATAACATGGAGACAGACAGACAGACATGCATACATACGCAATCGCATACAAAGACATACGCACAGAAACATACCCACAGACATGCCTGTGCATATGTGCCACGCAGAAACACATGGCCACGTGGCGCACCACTCTGAACGACTGCGCAGCTCAGAAAATCAGAACAACATCTCGGAGAGTACGTGGCAGCAAGAGAAGCAGACGAAGATGCCTGCGCCGTTTGGCCGCGAGCAGATAATACCTCAGGTCGATGTATCTACATACACTTTACCAGTACACAAAACCCTCAGCTGCAAAGGTAGGTCCGCTGTTATGGAAACAGCATGCTGCGAAGATTCTGTTGGGCGTCGTTGCAAGGCGGAACAACAACACTTGGAACATGCATGGGAACAGTTGGCGCTGCACACTTGTGCTCAAGCAAAGGTGGACGTCTGGGAGTGGCGTTGCACTCCGGGTGCCGGGCGTGGTTGTGACGCTGTTGTGCTTGTTGTTGAGGAGGCAGTTTGTCGCATACTCCTGAGGAAAGCCTGCCACGAGCCGGCTGTGCTGTGAGGGTCGGGCAGCGTCATAGCTTTCTGCAGTGAGCTCTGCACCGTGGCATTTCAGCTCCTGCAGCACATCTTCTTCCAGGCCTGTAGAATAACAGAACACGCAAGGTTGTGGGACTAGCCAGAAATGCCGGAAACATGTTTCTCCAGGCATGCACCATTAAGCTCACAGCCGCACTGACGTGACACCAAGTCACGTGGACGGACCGATGCCTCTTGCGATGTATGTTGGAACTTGATGCATGGAAGGTGGGCTAGGACGAGTTGATCACTGCTTGACGGAGCACAGAGTGAAGCTGCGAACGCGCGCTGAGGCAACAATATTGCTCCGTCCTCCGGGATTTGGCGGTACCAGTCATGTGCTCTCACCTTGGAGTATAGGCGTGCGCAGGCTACGCCTGCGCATATGGAGTAAGGTTGTGCAGGATCATTCTTGCTGGCTCTTATTGCCGTCCAAGTGCTTGCAATCGCTTTGCAGTTGTCTCTTGGTGGCCTGCTGTATGCTGGCGTTCTCAGGGCTGGGCATCCGCAATGGTGAAGCGCTTGGCCGGGTCCACCGTCAAGAGCCCTGCGATAAGCTCCTGCACTTTCGTTCAAGTGGGGCCTGGGGCCCTAAGCCAACAATTCAAGTTGGGGGGGCATCTGCGAGGAATCCTTCACGGAGTCGGTGATGAAGGAGGGAGCTGTGTAGCTAGCTGCGAGGATCTTCTTGTAGAGCGCCGAGGTGTTGGAGTCCTCGCTGTCTGGAGGGTCAAGAAGCAAAGACAGAGGGAAAATCCTCGAGAGTTCCCTGCCCTTGCCGAGAGCAGCCCCACGCTCTCCTCGAAGGGCAAGAATCCGCAGACCATAGCCTGTGACAGCAGACCGTACAACGGCCGTCCCCATGCACATCTGGCAGAGTAACCGGTCATCGAGGCCACGGCGAAGAGGATGACACCACAGCTCCAGAGATCGCACATCTGCGGAACGTAGCCTCAGACTCCCTTTATAGGCTCTACGGAAAGCATGGCATAGAAAGGATGCAGTGAGCGAATCGACAGCTCCTGCGCACACGCACCCAAATTCTACTCTCGGTGCGGAGCTCTGTCCCGAGACCATCTCCGGAGGAGCGTAGCCTTGGCACACCATTCCACATGGACTCCCCTTGTCTCACGACAGCTCTACCGAGGCAGAGGTTTGGCTGGCGGGTCTACTTGGCCCGAGACAAGGGGAGCCGCAGGCAGTTCTCAGCAGCTGGTTGTCGTCGAAGCGCTGGGCAACGGGCAAGCTCGTTGTGATCATATGGAGTCTTCCAGTTAACTCACTGTCATGCTTGATGCGGCTAATGGGTCTGATGATCATGCGGCCTCCAATTACACACTGCTGCGAAAATCAGTATCGACCGAGGCTGCCCACGTTGCTGAGCCCGAAATCTACAATCTTGATGCACTTGTGCCTCGAGTAGGCTCACCCGCCATCGGCACCATTGTGAGAGCCGAGAGCCGTGCTCATCAAGAAGGAGATTCTCGGGCTTCAGGTCCTCAGACAAGGCGTGCCCTGTAGAGAACACGTGCACATGCGAGAGCTTCAGCCGGGCCCCAAACGCGATGAACAACGTTCATCGCGTGAATTTGCTCAACCTGGCACGGCAATCGGGGAACCAAAGCAAGCATGCTGCTGTTGCTGGGAAGTCGAACTTTTCTGAAATGGCACATCGGCTGAGCTGCTTGCGCCGGCGATTATCTGGTGGAAAAAGCGGCAAGCTTCAGGTTCCTGATGCCCCGTTCTGGCACAGCAGCGTGATGCTGCGTGGACTTGCGCAAATCTCGGCAGGTCTGAGTCCACAGACAGGGACTCGTTGGTTCTGGACGATATAGTCAAAGAGCTCGCCGCCTGAGGCGTACTCCATGATTAGGTAAAGCCTCGGAGAAAAGCAGAAATTGCAGCAAACTGGGCTGCTTGGCTTCTTCCTCTCCAGAGCAAGGCTCCGGCTGACCGCGTGTTTCGATGATCTCGAAGAGCTGCACCACGTGCGGGTGCCTCGGAGTGGCTTCGAAGTAGCCCAAGGCATCGTTCAACTGAAGGTACTATACTACGGCTCACTAATCTTCAGCTGAGTCTTGCAGTCTCAAACCCAGGCGCCGGATCAGCTTGAGGAGCTGCACTTCCCGGGCCACACGCTCGATGTCGGCTACCTGCAAACTCGGTCACGACTTTACATTGGCGTTTTGAGTCTTTTCCTTTTGTGGAGAATTTTTGGGAGGGTGCCCTAACGTCTTGCGACTCCGAGCTCGAAGTTACTTACCTGTACTCTAGGTCCTCCAGGTCGCTAGGGAGACCCGCCTCCTGGATGCGGTCTTTTTCCAAGACCTTGACGGCGACACGCTCACCAGTGAGGATATGCCTGACGCAGGATACTGAGCCCATGAAGGACGTGTTCACCTGAATTGAAGCTCCAGAAAAATGCCTTCCAAGCTTTACCTTGCCGAACGTACCCTCACCTGCCAAGCACGAACGTAGAACGGGTCTGGGGAAGTTCACGAGTCGACCGGGGTCTGTGCCGATGGTACGGCCCAAGATGTAATGGCCTCAAGCTACACAGCTCCGGCCCAGACGTGCATAGCACAAGCACAACAACACCGAGGTGATTTGAGAGATGGGCCCAAGTTCTTGTTGCTGACCACATGTGGGCTTCGCCTTGGCTCCCGGGCTTTAGACCAGGCTTTGCCATTAAGGCTTTGACAGCTTGGAGGGTCCGGCTGCGGCAAGGAGCTGGAAGCTACCTTGGCTGGCTAAATTGTGCGGCCTACGCCCAAGTCTTGACGAAACTTGCTAGGCTCCGAACTCCTTGAGTGGCCGCGCGAGCGCTCTGTGCCGGGGAGTAGTGCACGGGAGCCACCTCGAAGGGCGAAGCCGGACGGACTTCCATTTCTCAGAACTCCACGCGGCAAGAGCAAAGCCCGATGCCGTCTTCAGCGGCATCACATTCGCCTATTCGGGCTGCAAAGGCACTGAGGAGGCTATGTCTGCAGCCATTTCACGCTCCCCTTCCCATTTGCCGGCCTGCTGCTGTTGATGCGTGCCGTGTGTGTGCACCGCTTGCGCTGTGTGGTGTGCATGTGCAGCTGGAGCCGCGGCGTGCATGTTGTGGGCCGCGTGCGGGGCTTGGCGAACCGCCATGGGTATCGGCACATGGCTCACCTTGGCAAGATTCAAGAAGCTTCATCCTTTTTGTCCTTCATGTGCATCGGAACAATGCAAGGTAGGCCCCTCGCGGGCGACACGGGACGCCGAATCGTGATTGGCGATGCCATGCCTGCGAAGAGTTCCAAAGTGAAGGCAACACCAGTGCAACTGCTGACGAATTAGGAGCAGATAAGTGGGAACACAACCTGCCAGTCCGTGGCGAGGCAAGCTGAGGCGCGGACAAGCCATCGCAACTGGCCAATCTGCCAGAAACTCTCCGCCGGAATAACTTGATCCAGCTACAGGTCACGCAAAATATGATAGAACACGCCGTTTTTCTGATCAACTCTCCATCCGGCACATGCTTGTCCCGAAACATCACCAGGGTCTCTAGGACTGTCAATCTCAACCCCAAGGACAGAAGCCTCATTGATCCGAGCCTTGCCATGCCTTGCCTACCTGCTCAACGTCATGCCAAAATCTCGCAGAATCTGGTATCCGGGCGCCAAATATCCTGGACCGTATTCGACCGTCCTAGACTTCTGGAGTCGAAAGCCTGCATGCTGCTGCACCTAGTGCATGGGGAATTTCGGAAGCCGGGACCCGAGTTCTCAAGCAGGCCAATACCAAGCATGTGCAAGCCGCACCAAGTCTGCAATATGGCACATTACGGCCATTGCAGCGGAAGCTCAGAGTATTAGGTGGAGGGCAAGTGGCAGGCGCTCTAAGCCTGACATAGCCCTCAATTCCTAAATCTCAGACAGTAGCTCTACTAAACAAAAACTCAACTCAGGATCTGCAATGCGAATCTTTGTCCCACCCATTCCCATTCTGAGATCTCGTCTTGCTCAGGACATGGGATGACACCAATCCGGCGAAGTCATCTGTACATGACGGTGCCAGTAGTCTCTGCACATGGATCCGGCACCCAGATGCTGCACAATATTTCCATAAGCTGAATGTGCTTGACGGAGCTATGCAGCCAGCCTCCGCCACACGAGCACTATCATGACCGTTGGCAGCGGCATCAATATCACGACCCTGCGAGCTCACGCTAACCTGAAGCCCATGTCAAGGCACGTCCATGCACGCGCTCAACAGAGACGAGGAGACACAAGAAGACTGGGAGCTGCGCGCGGCTGTGCATGGCGGGCTTTGCTGGATCGATTCGCCCTCTGCTTCTTGGGATTCTCACGGCCTGTCGATGCTTTTGGATCGCTCAATGAAGGCTTTGGGGCTCCGGGTTTTGGGGTGTGTGACTGCGCAAGGCTCAGAATGGAGGTGTACAACACTCGCATGGGCTGCAAGGTTGGCTTTACTCAGAGACCTCCAATGACATGGAGCTCCTGCAGGCAGTGCCGGGAATACTCACAAGACTCCGCTACGCTACGCTTGATTGCGAGCTCCCGCTTGAATTTCGGTCGTGCAGCGACCCTTGGAAAACTAGGAGCGCTTCAGAAAACGGGAGTTCCTGAAACGGCTGGTGCCTGGGAGCGAAAGGAACTCTTAGAGGCGAAAATGTGTACGGCATCTGGGAATCTAGTCACAAAGCACTGCACAAAGCACGGCCAATGAAGTAGCAGTTCTCATCTATAGAGATATCACAGCATTCGCCTCTGCCCCGAATGCCTCTTACTAACTGTCACGGCATGTTGGGCTGATCTATGGGACTGACTGACCAACCTGACTGGCCACCAGCACAGTCGAGTCGCAATCTGAAATCACCAAGCGAGGCTTGCAAGAAGCGATGCTCCAACAAAAAAACAACGAGCAACAGCACGCCCGTGTCGAGTGTTTGCATATTCTCGGGCCCAGGCACGACGCCGGCGCCGCAATCGAAGGTTCAGCCTTCAACTCAAAAAGTTCTAACCTGCCTCAAAGAGGCCTGCCATGCAGCTCTGAATCTGAACACAGAGCGCCATAGAGCGCCTCCATTACAGAATCCCCGTCCGACAGGAGGGAGGGGTTATCTCTGACGGTGTTTTGGATCCAGAATCCACAAATTCAACACTCCAAGCTCTGATCGCGAGCCTGTGCTCTGGTGCAAACCTCGATGCGGGATGCACCGCTCGGTTACAGCAACCACCGATGGCGGAAAATAGGAATAGGCCCAAGAGATGCGCGTCGACATGGGCGCAAAGTCCGGCAAAGCTGTGACAGCCAAGATGGTGCGAAGCATCAGCAGCCCGACAGCTCAGGCGCGCAGGGTCGCGTCGCTGGCGTCGGCAGCACCAGAACCCTGCCCTGAGGCGTCGTCAACTTGTATGGGAACAGCTGGAACGTTCACAAAGGGGAAGTTGTTGCAGGGATGCCCAGCCCCGACAGGCCTCAAAACCCAGAGCAACTTTCGGGAGGGCGATTCATGTAGCTGGATTTCTTCTCTCCCAAAGTCAGCACTTGAAGAAAAGCTGCCAGCATTTGTCCCTTCTTGTGCAAGTGTGTCAAGGTGTTCGGAAACCCCTGCTGACTGGCCTGTGCTACGGCTTTCGGTGCATCTCCATGCATTTCCACCACAGCACTCTGCACTACACAATGCAGCACAATGCTTCTCGGAGCGAAACACAGCACCCCGGGCAAAGCCAACAATTGCAGTGTGGCATCAAACGAAATGTCAGGCATTGGCCTGAAGTCCCGTGTCCAAGACCATTTCAACAAGTAGAGGTAGAAACACAAATTCATCGCAACGATCGCAAACAGCAGGCCGGTCCTACAAACCGGCTAACGGCTAGCATGTGCACTCACGGACTGTCATGGCTTTTTCTTCTCTCGCACTGCTGGAGAGCACTGTTGCTGGACGCTTCGCGTCTGCTGGCTGCTGAGCAGGGCTGTCCGGGAAGACCCTCTCAGCTGCCGGATTCCGGCGTCGCCTCCTCCTTGGCAAGGCTACACGACTTTTCCAAGACTTCCAGAGCACTTGCCAAGGCCATGAGGTCAGCCTCAGGTTTTGTAGCGCAGTTCGAGCGCATGTCCCAGACTGGCGCCATCGCCTCAGAGATTCTGGCTTTTGTCGAAGCCGGAGCTGGCTTTGTGAGAGTACGCAGGGCTTGTGCGAGCTCTTCCGTGTAGCGCCGCAGCTCAGTGGCATCAGGCGCAGGATCCAGCAGCGCTTGCTGGACTCCAACTCGCACCTCTGCGACATACTTCTCAAAAGAGGCTTTCGAGATCTGCTGCGGTCGAGCTGGGAGAGAGGGCATAGAGGGCTTTCTGGCAGCAGTGGCGGCAGTAGAGGCTGTCGGGCCTGGTCTATGGTCCGTAGAAGTACCTCTCGAGGCTTGCATAGCAGCGTTCTTGACAGTTTCCTCTGCACAAACAAAGACGACGAAGTCTACACTTGGTGGCACGAGCAGGAAAGCAGCAGCAGCACCACTGCCCTCACAGCACCAGAAAGATAATTGACAACAACACGAGGACACGCAAGAGCAGCTGCACTGCTGAAGTCTAAAGACTGCAAACATCAAAAAGGTTGCTCAAGGAAGAAGACTAAGAAGCTGCTCGGGTACCCGCTCTGTAAAAAGCATGCCTTGGAGCCCTGTAGCCAGCTCTGGTCGTCCGCCCATGACAGGTCTGGTCCCATGAAGGAGCCCTTCTGATTCTGCGCAGTTTTCCACTCTCTTCTCCATCCAGGCTGCGGCTGGGAGTTAAAGTTGCTTGTAGCCTGCTCCCCGGATGTGGCCTGCAATCGCTGCTCGCGCTGCACGACCCTCACGAGCCGATCCATCACCTGCTGCCCGCGCGAGGCATCACAGCGAGTCGCATGCTGTTCTCGCTTCTGGCGGCTCGTCGGCATGGTGTCCACAGAGCACCGGGGCCGCTAGGGCCAGGGAAAATGTCAAGGCTATGGCGGTTTGGGCCAGGCAGCCAAAGTGGCGGCAGGGTCAGCGGCCCTACAGTTTACTGCTTTGGAGCCTCAGCTGAGCCAGTGGCACAACGACAGCCGTTGCGGCGAACAGCATCGGATTCCTCTACATCAATCCGTTCGTGATTGATGGTTCAAACCTCTTTGAAGGTCCTCCCGAATCACATGGTGTTGCGCAGGCTTGGTGTCAATACTGCCTGCAGTGGGCTGTGCAACTGACGACCCCCGACAGGCTCAAACGCACGGACATTGCCTGCCAAAACAAGGTTGACCTCCGCCAGTTCTGGTTCGTGACCTCTGCACTGAACAATCAAATACTTGCACCAAATTGCAGAGCAACCCTGGTCGTACCCCGTCATGGAATGACAGCGAACTGCTTCCCTGCTTCCGGCCAAATTCTGGTCAGATTCAAGTTTTGCTTCAGAGAGAATTGCCGCACGCCTGGCGATTCGAACCCTGGCGACTGCACCATCACTCGATCCGATGTCCGACGAATGAAGGGCAAGGACCATGCACTCGCTATCCGCTATGGCCGCTATGGGCTTGGCCCCTTGGCCCAGGCCTCTATCATGGCAGCGGAGGTGGCCACGAGACGCATCGCGTCGTTGAGCAGCCCCATCAGCTCGGCCAAGGAAGACCAGGCCTTGGAAAGAGAGTCAGAGCTGTCAGAGCTGCCAGAGCTCAGTGCTCTCATGGCACATGGCTCAGGCGAGTGCTAGCAAGTGAGGAAGTTGCGCAACATCGCTGAGGTGGGCCCACCAACGAAGCTCGTTGAAGCTAGCCTGCCGCTTGTGATGGCATGTGGACACGCTTGCAGCATCTCGCAGCTTTGCTCTGCTCTCCTTCATTGCTCCGGTCTCTGCTACTGCGCCTCCTCGTGCCACCGGCCCCAAGCGGCCCCACTGCGCTGCAAAGCCCAACCTCGAGAGTCTGCGAAGCGTGGAGTCACTTCTTGGGCTGGGCGGTTGGGCGGTTCGGCCTCTCCTCTGGACCGCCGTGCTGCCATCCTGGCCGTAGCTCCGTGCGAAAAAAAGCGGCAGCAGGTCCTTGCTGGGCACCTCCGTGGGACAACTATAACTATTTACATAAGAGGTACGACCACTGGAGAACTGGCTCAGCCACCAGCAGCGGCACAGCGAGGCTGTACAGCTCATAGAAGACCTGCATTCTGGCAGTGGGCAGAGCGCCGGACTGGGAGAGACCTTCGAAGACTTCGCATGACATATCCGAGTTGCCAGTGTTTGCGGGTCGTAAGGCAAAACGACTGCAGCGCGAGAAGACGCCCAGGCTCCCCAAGATCGGTCCTCACCAAGAGCCAGGCCCAGAGCACCGAAGCTGAGGCGAAACCTGGCCTTGAGGTCCGTCATATATTTGAAACTCCATGTCCGCCCGGATGCGGATGGAAGGGCCTGGAGCCAAGCCCCAAGGGCGCTTGGACACGTCTGGCGCGCCCTTGGCAGCCAAGAGGCCGAGTTGAGAAGACATTGGAAGTCCCAGAACGTGTAGACCTCCAGTCACAGCCGCAAGTTCGTCAGAGCAGAGCTGTGCAAAGAGGCCTGCTTGGTTATCAAGACATCCTCGCTGTTGGGCATGTGCTTTGGCCGCGAAGACTTTGCGTACAGCGCCACAGGCCTGACTCTGACAGTGCTCCAGTGGTTCTTAGAAACTGGCCCCCGTGGTCGCTCACTGATTCTGACCTCACGACGGGCAGTCGGATGCCGGTCTGCCAGTAGCCCTGCGCTGCTATCGGAGGTGCCATGAAAACCTGGCAAAGGCTTGAAACTCGACATCGGCCCCCCCGATCAATGGAGACCCAGACCAAGCGCCAAGGGGCCAATTGCAGTGCAGCATACAATGACGAGGTGCGCTGGGGTACTTGTGCGACAAAGCTGTAGAACCTCTGGACACTGGACATCATAGGAAACCAGACTTCACAAGCCTGCAGCACAGAGCGTAAGGGAGAGCTGGGCCCGTCACTGCATCTGGTCATCTGCAGTCAAGTACGCACCTAGCGGATTGCCCACATATCCAAGGACCTGAGCAGCCTATACAATGCTATAGCGAGATAGCCATAGCACAAGCAGCAAATATGACAGGAAGATACAGCAAGGTTGATGGCCCCAGTTTTGCTAAGTTGCAGTCCTGTTCAACTCGGCGAGGAGGAGGCAAATGAAGGCCGGCTCGCCGCAAACAAGCCTTGTCAGCTCATGTTCGAACTAGCGCAAGCGCAAGGTCAAAGCATCTGACATGCTGCGGGTGTACAAGCCGGGAAGCACATCTGCTTGAATCTTCGAGGCGAAGTCGCTTTCCTCGAAGTCTGTCCGGAAGTTTTCGAGGCTGGGAAGCAGTGGGAAATGCCCCAAAGAGTCCTTCAGACATCTCATAACGGATTGCTTCTTGAATTACACTGTTGACCCATACTGAGCTCCTCCAGGCTGCCTAGATGCCTTTGCAGGATCTCGTTCACCAGCCCGCCCTCCACGCATGTCACACCCGCAAGTTCGGCTGCACAACCGCGGACGCAGAGCGTGGCTTCCTGCTGCACGGCACAGCCGCCGGACCGTCAAGTGGCCATCTGAACAGCTGACCGCTTAATGCCAGACGTGGTGCAAGTGTTGCAAAGCCCGCCCAGATGCTGAGTGGTTCCAGGAGCAATGTCGGGTGGGTGCTTGTGGCCCATACCCGCACAGCCGGAGGTCCTGCGGCATACATCGCGGTGCGCGGTGACTTCGCTGGGTTCCCTGCAGGCCTTCCGTGAAGTCTTCAACCTCTCTTTGCAGCCTCATGGTCCAAGTAGTGGCCTGCCCAGCACTGCCCAGCAGGCTGTTTCGGCTACAGCAAAGCTCCGCACCTGGTGCAGGAAGGCTTGTGCTCGCGCGAGAGCATGGCCGTCTAGCGCTGGACCCATTTCACCATCTGGCAAAGCCTCCCACACCAGCAAGCAATAGCAAGCAGCAACGTAAGAGAAGCCACCATCTTTCGCCAGAAAGGGCTGCCGCGCAGCCTCCAGGACATCCTCCAAGCTGAACCAGCCCGAAGATTCGAGCAGCGTGAGGGCCCGGTGCCTCTTACAGCACAAGAAGTCTAAGCTCTCCTCTCCTATCCTCGCTCAGCATCGCTGAGCTCCAGGCCCGCCGCGCAGGAGCCCGCGCAGCGCCCAGCGGCCCTTGGCCGTGAGGCGCTGCAAAGCCCTCTCGTCGCGAGCCAGGAGCGCCGAGAGCACCTCCCGAAGGAGGTGCGACAGAGAGAAGAACAGAGATAAGAATTAGAGAGATTCTCGTGTCTTCCTTTTGTCGTCCACAACGTTTATTTAAGCTTCTGGCTTCTTGCGCTATTTCGGAACGGAGCGGTGCCCCCATCTCGTTGCCTCGTGTGTAGTATATACTAGCAGAAATTCTCGATCTCGTCCGAGTGTTCTCGGTAGTGGCACTTTCCATCTTGCAACCATATCCGCTTTTATTCAATCATCATCTGTCATTCAGGAAGCTCTCAGTTGCCGTCGCTGTCGCTGCTTGAGCTAGACGAGCTCCGTTTTTATTCAATCATCATCTGTCATTCAGGAAACTCTCAGTTGCCGTCGCTGTCGCTGCTTGAGCTAGACGAGCTGTAGTGTTGTTACTAGAGTACTGTTACTACAAATAAATAGAAGTGGAAGTAGTACTACTAGTAGTAAAAGTAGTAGTAGTAGTAGTAGTAGTAGTAGTAGTAGTAGTAGTAGTAGTAGTAGTAGTAGTAGTAGTAGTAGAAGTAGTAGTAGTAGTAGTAGTAGTAGTAGTAGTAGTAGTAGTAGTAGTAGTAGTAGTAGAAGTAGTGTCTGACCAGATGCTGGAGTGGGTTCATGCCTTCGCGACCATCTCCATTATGAAGGAGCAGGCCATAGTGGGTGGCCTCACGGCCTCCGAGCAGGTCTACCTCTGGACCAATCGGTTTCGGGCACTGGGCAAGGTGCCATGGATCTTCGCCCCGATCAAGAAGGTCGCCACCGATAAAGATGCCAAATGGCTTGACATCACACAGGCGCGGCTCATGGTCGGGGCCAATGGCCTATTCACACTATCGATTGGCCAAGATGATCGCTACACAGAACTCAAATCTACAACGACCTACTATGGCATAGTGCATGCCCTCTTTCAGAAGATGTGGGATCATCCGGACATGAACGCACTGCTCGAAACGGATGACAACTTCGAGATCGTGGCCTCCACCTTCAAATGCATCTATGACCAGTCCTCCAGGAAGAGTGGCGGCCAAAATCGCGCCATCTTCTACCAGCCTCGGGATGGTCAAGTTGTCCGCAAGCTCCGTATCGAACACAACAAGGGCGACACGGCCACCTACCAATGGCATCGTCAGCGCGAGCTGCGTGAGCAGCGCGAACAGCGTGACAAGCGCTCTGGTGAAGAGACACAGTCTCACACAGACAAGCGCTACAGGGACGGCGATGCCTGGACCCGAGGAGGGTGGTGGAATCGTGGCTCGGACTCGGGGGCCAGTGGCAGCCGCTCCTGGCACCAGTGAGCTCCAACTTTGATCACCGGTGCCAATGGCAACCTATGCAGTGCAATGCGGAGGCTTTGCCTGCATTTCCATTTCGTTTCTTCCGGAACGGACTGACGGCCTTCTGCTGATTGCCGCCGCAATCAGTGAAAAACAAGCCTTAGCCTTCTGCCGGTCGCATTACTGTGCCTCTGCTACTAGTGCTGCACAATCACTATCCTCGTTCAGGTACACACAGCAATCTGAAGCTTGATGCCTGGCAGCCTACAAACTTGCTTCGGCTGACCACTGCCAGTTAGCTGGAAGCCTGTAGGCCGCCAACACCCAAAGGTCTTTGACCTGGGCTGTTCAGCTGTAGGGTCTGAGTCAGTTTCACACCATGTGAGTGCACCGCGGCAATCGCCCGCTATGTGCTGAGCCCGCTCGCACAGCGTTCAATTGAAAAAATAGTAGAAGTAGTAGTAGTAGTAGTAGTAGTAGTAGTAGTAGTAGTAGTAGTAGTAGTAGTAGTAGTAGTAGTAGTAGTAGTAGTAGTAGTAGTAGTAGTAGTAATAGTTGTTGTTGTTGTTGTTGTTGTTGTTGGTAGTAGCTAGTAGCTAGTACCTAGTAGCTAGTAGTTAGCGTTAGTAGTTAGTAGTTAGTAGTTAGTAGTTAGTAGTTAGTAGTTGGTAGTTAGTAGTTAGTAGTTAGTAGTTAGTAGTTAGTAGTTAGTAGTTAGTAGGTAGTAGGTAGTAGTTAGTAGTTATAGTTATAGGTAGTAAGTAGTAAGTAGTAGTAGTAGTAGTAGTAGTTATAGGTAGTAAGTAGTAAGTAGTAGTAGTAGTAGTAGTAGTAGTAGTAGTAGTAGTAGTAGTAGTAGTAGTAGTAGTAGTAGTAGTAGTAGTAGTAGTAGTAGTAGTAGTAGTAGTAGTAGTAGTAGTAGTAGTAGTAGTAGTAGTAGTAGTAGTAGTAGTAGTAGTAGTAGTAGTAGTAGTAGTAGTAGTAGTAGTAGTAGTAGTAGTAGTAGTAGTAGTAGTAGTAGTAGTAGTAGTAGCAGTAGTAGTAGTAGTAGCAGTAGTAGTAGTAGTAGTGTTAGAAGTTGTAGTAGTAGTAGTAGTAGTAGTAGTAGTAGTAGTAGTAGTAGTAGTAGTAGTAGTAGTAGTAGTAGTAGTAGTAGTAGTAGATGCGTGGGGATTTGTTCTTGATGATGTTCCTTGTCGCCCACCCCACCGAGCTATATTGGGTAATGATGTGGTTGCCCTCTACAGACTCGATACGCTCTCTCCTCACTCCCACTCGCAAACGCTACTCCCAGGGCAGGCAGATCCAGAGCTCGCTTGTTTTCCACCTTCGCGGCCAGCGATGGATCGTCTGTGCTCGGGATGGCTCTGTTCCTTGGAAAGGTCACAGAAGACGAAAGCTATTTTAGCTATCGGCAATGCTTTCTAGAGCTTGTGCTCATTCTTGAGCCAAAGTTGCATAGGCGGCATATGGTATAAGATTGGTTCAGCACTGTGGTATGCGTAGCATGCCCACAGGCTTTCACCTAGAGATGGAAAACGCGTAGCGTGCCTCCACTCTTGACCTGTACAAGGCCATGCTCATAGCTCTTATCGTGACACCATGGAACTTGACTAGGCATGAGTGGCGTCTCCGATGGTACTCACCCGGAAGATGGCGCGATAGGAACACTAGGGATTGATCCGCCGCAACTTCGAAATATGGAATCAGAGCCTTGCATCCCAATTAGAAATGGCGTGACACTCATCTACGTCAGTGACGATCCCCTGAAATGACAAACGAATCAGGCGTCACCGAAGAAAAGTATTCGCAGTGAAGATCATGTGCGAATCGTAGAGGCCACGTACTGGACGAGGTAGCAGGTCACGTGTTGTGCTGCATCCATCTGCGTGTTGATGCAGGGTCACGTTCCCAGGGCCTGAGGTTGTCCTCTGGGTTTGGGGCCCTTTGCTTCCCCTTGTCCTTGCCTTTGTTCCTGCCCTTCCCGACGATGTAGTCATGGTAAGAATTGGCATTCCAGCCACGTACCATGCCTTTCACTTCGTTCGCGGGCCTTTGGGGCAGCTTTGGCTTTGGCAGCACGCTCGGTCTCTTCTGCCGTGACAGGTGTGTCCATGATGGAGGTCTGTCCGCGCGGAAGATACTTTTCTTCTCCACAAGGGCGATTCCTTCCTTGTAGAGATGTGGATGGATGCTTGCGGAGCCGCCGGAAATGATCTTCGGATTACCGATGTCAGCTCCTCCTTTTGCTGGCAGCTTTTTCTTGTCCTAACTACTCCGGGCAGCTTTTTTTCAGCTTTGCTTTGGCAGGGCAGCGTTGCTCCAGCTTTTCCGTCCACCTTTTCTTTACCTCGGACTCCGGGCCCACCTTTTCTTTAGCTTTCATTCACCTTTTCTTTAGCTTTCTTTCACCTTTGTTTCACCTTCTTTTCACAGTTTTTTTTACTTTTTTTGTAGCTTTTCCCTAGGAAAAGCTACATTTCCAGAGGGAGGGCCACGGGTTGGAAAAAAGCTAGGAAAAAGGTGCTCGGAAAACGTGAGACAAAGCTAGTAGCGGCGCGAGCGTGTTCACAGTGGGCGGCGACGCGGGGCGCGAGCGTGTGCGGGGAGTGTCGGGGGCCGCGTGGGGCGTGAGCGTGCGTGGGGCGTCGGGGCCAGGAGGGGAGTGGGGGGAGGGTACGAAGGGAAGGGTGCTTTGAACGGGGGGTGGGGCTGGAGTGGGTGGATGCGAAACGCCCAGACTGCAACAGAGCAGAGACTTGTCTAAGTCAGCAACAACAACAGTCACTATTCCGGACAAGCTACTAGTAACTACTAACTCCTGCTAGATTAGGAATTGTTCGGCCGGCTTGTTGAGAGGAGCCGGCGGGTTCAGGGGAGTTGATGTTATGTAACTGGTTTGTCGGTTGATGATGCTTTGATACAGCATGCATGCTCTTTGTTATACCTTCTCTCGATATGGTTACCTTTGTTCTACCTTCTCCCTGTAGCTTTATATTACCTTCTTGCCAGCTTTTTAATTATTTATGTTGAGATAGTAAATACCAAATAGACGTTCATAACCTTAGTTGTTCCTTAGTTGGGGCTGTTTGTTAGCCCCACAATCGGTACACAAGTACTGACGCCTTTCCCATGCACTGTCCTCAGATTCATCTGTAACATGTCTGGTCCTAGCATGAGCATGAACAAGGCTGCGAACATGTTCGGCAACTGACCTCCATGTGACATCAATGCAATGAAGCAAACTGCATTTCACTTTGCGTTTCGAAAAATCAGACATGTTCAACTCCAAACGTTCCGCATCAGGCATGTTCAAGTACACGATCCTACGTCCGACTGATTCGCCAGTAGCACCAACATGATTAGTGATCTTAGTTTTTCTCATTTTGCAACTCGAAACAAGCGCATGCAATTCCGGTCAAGACCAACATGAACATGAAGAAGGCATGTCAAGTGAAAATAGATATTGGAGAAAAAATTTTGAGGAGGCGTTTGAGAGATTTCAAAACAGTCCTAAAACTTTTGATGAAACGACCAGAACGATTTTCACCCCCCACGCCTTCGCTGCCTCCAGGACTAGCACCTGATCGCAAAAGCGATGCTACGAATAGCACAGGCGTGCGCAGGTCGTTCCAGCACAACTTCTTGATCATGCTGATGAGGCTGTCCTCATCGGCTTTAGAACCTATCACACCTTTGCACAAGATACGAGCGCAACCTTGGGCC